CCAATTTTTTGGAGGAATGATACTCACTAGGAATAAGTGCTTACTAATATATAACATGGATTAGCAGTGATACCCTCACTTGGTCCATGTATCAGATGGTCACTTGTCACACAGGGCACCCATGCCATCCTCCTTTACATTTTTGTTAGTTAACTCTAGATAAGTTATTAGTTCATTCAGCTGAACTGTCATACATCACAGTTTGTCACACGGTGCTGACTGTACTAAGAGGGAACAACCAAGTGCAGGTGTAACTGTACTTGATTTCGTTCTGTAACTTCCCTACTCCACACTTCACATAAGGTATTATGGATTCCTGTGTGACAGGTGAACACCTGACAATGGATCAGTTGGAACTACCAATGCCCATGCATATATTCTAGAACATTTTTATTAAATAACCCCCCCCTTTTTTTTTCTTTAGTTAAATGATAGTCTCTACACTTCATTGGAAAATATGTTAATGGATTCTGTGACCCCACTTTGGGGATTTTGCTCTCTATTATGAGGACAGGAACTATGTAAAACTCATTCTTGTAGTCCTAGCACTTAACATAAGACCTGGCACCAGTTATTATAGGTAATTTGTTGGATGAGTGGCTGAGGAGTCTAACCTGACCCAAATAGAGGACTCATTAAAAATTAATGATAAATATCTGGCTGGATATAAAGACTTAGATGACATACAGAAAATACAGTAATAAATAAAGAGGCTATTGAAAAATAAAAGGATGGGATTATTTGTGCAAAAAAAGTTGGCAGTGCAGTGATATGTATTATGGGAATAAATAGAAGGTAGGAAGATACATTTGTAGGGTATTGCATTAACCTGAGAATCATGATGGTGTCACTGAAGTTTTGGTGAAAGGAATCAAGAGGGGAAAAGGGGCAAAACTTTAGTGTTTCATTTAATTGTTAGAACTAGGTATTCAAATGTAAGTGTGAAAGGGGATTTTTAAATGGTTTTAGAAAATTGCTGTAAACAAGTATTTTAGTGTATAGAACAGTATTTTTACTTTATATATACATACACATGTATATGTGTGTGTCTGCACGTGTGTATATATATCTCTTTATTGATTTCCGAGAGAGGAAGGGAGAGAGAGAGAAACATCAGTGATGATGAGAGTCATTGATCTGTTGCCTCCTGCACGCTCCCCACTGGGGATCGAGCCCGCAACCTGGGCATGTGCCCTGACCGGGAATCGAACCTCGATCTGGATTGTAAGTCAATGCTTAACCGCTGAGCCATGCTGGCCGGGCTAGAGTAGTATTTTTTAAAATAATGTCGTGCCTCAGTTTCAGATGTGAATAAGGTGAGCACGTTTGAATAGCTTTCACGTATTTATTTTTAATATGTTTTTATTGATTTCAGAGAGAGGAAGGGAGAGGGGGAGAGATATAGAAACATTAATGATGAGAGTCACTGATCAGTTGCCTCCTGCATGCCCCTTACTGGGGATCAAGCCTGCAACCCTGGCATGTGCCCTGACTGGGATTCAATCAGTGACCTCCTGGTTCATCAGTCTATTCTCAACCACTGAGCCATTCAGGCCAGGCAATTTTTTTATTTGTAATAAGGACAAACTTTAGTTTATTATCTATAATGTATTTTTTTTTCAAAATAATGAAAGTTCTTATATTTATTTTTTTTTAGTATTATTTGTAACTGATTTTTAAACATTTTCCTCATAAGACATATGCATGCTGTCTTTAATTATGGACAGTATACTTCTGTTTTGTTGGAGAATGCTATTTTTCTGGTTTTGGAAGTGAGTTCTCAATGTATTTGGGTTAATATAACAGCTGCGATGACCGGAAGCTGTTCTTTTGAGAGACAGATGCACCAGTCCTTTAATGCTAAATATTTTAACACATCTTTCTGTTTTCTTCTGCTTATAAGCACAGACTCAGATTTAGTAGATCATTTCCCTAGGTGATGGTAATATTACTTCATGCCATTGACTCAGTAAACTAGCTTAATGTTTTACAAGACCACATTTATATACATTTGCTTACTTAATTGTTTTATCAATGTAGTCATTTTTGTTGGAATATAGAGTCTGTATAGGTTATGTGGGCAGGGATGTGAGGGAGGCACTGCTGGGGCTAAATTCTGAACTATCACCAAAATTCTTTTGACTTGAATGCAAGAAATTTCAGCCTGCCCAGCCAGTGTGGCTCAGTGGTTGAGCGTCAGTCTGTGAACCAGGAGTCAGAGATCAATTCCCTGTCAGGGCACATGCTGGGTTGCAGGCTCGGTCCCCATATGAAATACACCCCATATATTTATTTGACAATCAGTTAACCTATCTAGAGTAGATTATCTAATTGGTAAAGAGGTGGCTTTTATTCTGGTTGCACAGTCCAGTACTGTCTAGCCTGCTCTGATTCTCAGAAGAGGTGTGCACACAGGATAAATATGAATAAAGAGTAGATGGAAGCAAATGAAGTAAATATGCCCAAATTAAGATGAAATGAAGTATCATGGTATACTCACAGTCAACTCTCAGTTACGGAATCCAAGAGCTAGAAATTATAAGACTAATTGTCAGAATTGGGTAAGTAGACCATAATTTAAATGTTTAGAAAATTGTATCTAGACTTTAGAATTACTTTAGGATATTAAAAGTGTTATATATTCAGAGTCAGGAATTACTTTAGAATATTAAAAGTCTGATTATGTTTTAGTATTTTACAAAGCACTACCAAATTTAATAATATTGCTAAGACTAAATTTTTTGGAGAAGGTGTGAGGTTTGATGAATTTATAGTGATGTGTACATTGAGAATCTTAATTGGACTAATTATATTAAAAGAATAGCCTGAGTTTTTGAAACATAATTTCAGAAGTATTACTGTAAATATAGTATTAACTTTGCCATTATCATCAAAACAAGACTCATTTAAATTCTGTATACTTGGACAAAAAATCATAGGGCTGCTTAGCAAAAGAAAAATTTCCATTAAAGGGAAACCTTTAGAATAACAAGTGTGGAATAGGTAGCAAGCATACTTGATTGACACATTGAGATTTTTTATTTGTATCAGTCCTGAGGCTTATGACCTTGGTCAAATAAGCTTGATCACATAACCTTAATAGGTTTCAGTTGGCCTACTGTTAAAGACTGAATACAAAGCTATAATTTCGTGGTGGGAAAAGTGATAGTGTCGAATAGAAGATTACCCCTAAGTCATCCCAAATCTCACATTTACAAGAGCAGAGTAATATGTGACTGGCTTAGGTCACATATTTTTCTCACCTAGCACATATTCAGATGGAGATAATAGGTAGAGAAATGAGCAACAAAGGGAAGATAAACCAGGCACGTAATAGCAGATAAGGGTAACATCCTGAATGACTGAGCCAGTTATATTGTTTAAAATAATTGTGTATTTTACTATTGTTAGATTCTATTCAGTGTTTAAAAGGTTATTGAAATGAGTTACTTGGCCCTCACTGGTGTAAGATGTTTAGAATGAAGTTAATAAAATGACCCATTAATAAACCCAGAATTTTTTTTAGTTTGCTGAAGAAGTTTTCATAGTTGGAAGGGAAGCATTCTTCTTAGCAATGTAAAGCACCACATGACTCACACCTTAATAAAAACAGTTGGGAAATATTTCTAAATATTTATTTATATGGACTGCTATGATGGTACGTAGGCGAAATATATTTCAAAACTGATAGTGTTTTAATTCCATTTAAATTTACACATCTGGATCCCAAATGTAATTGCAATTATTTAAGAGTATATGTGAATGTCAGTTTGAAAACTAAGAGCTCTTCATTACCAAATTGGGGACCCAGAAAAAGCCATCTACATTATGCTTTTGGTTGCAAAAAATGGTTGCAAAAAACCATTCTCTCCCAACAAGGACATAAGGGCGGCGGCTTCTATCCTACCCCAACCTAGCTTTATTTTATTCTCTGTTCTTTGCTACCCATCGATTGAATGGCCTTGCCAGAATACTTAAGTTTAGAACTTAAGTGTCTTCATTTATAGAAGTTAAATATCTTCCTTATTAGATAAAATATGTATATTGAAGGTGCTTTGTAACAAAGTTCAGTTATTGGATTTAGTGTGGCTAAAATTGTCAAAATAATACACATTAAGGATTGGTTGTGTCATATTCATGATACTTATATTTGAAAATATATAGTTACACTAATTTTAGTAATTTTTCTTATTTGGGAGTTAATAAAATAGGGTGACTTAATTTTTAAGAATTATGTGAAATTCTAACCACTAAATACTATGTTTTAAAAATCTTAAGTTTGAGGTGAAGAGTAGGGAAGAGAAATTGGTATTCAGAAATGATAAAGTGTATCTATAGTCAGGAGATAGGGATGAATTTTCATTTTATTTTATAATAGAAACACTACCTTAACTTCTTATTAAATGTACATATATCAAGGGAAATTGTACCTACTATTTTAATACTTTTATTTTTAAAACTTTTAAGTTTTACAATGTGACTTTTTGACTATTTTAAGTAAGTCTGGGATTTTTGTTGTTGACCTTTTACCCCTTGAAGGTTATTAGTTTCTTTAATAGACTGTCTTTTATATTTAAATAGAATAACGATGGTAAATGTCTATTGTTGGTTAACTCTCTGTTAAAAAATACTGACTTATTTTGTTTTATCACCTTTTAGAGTCTGAACTTACAAATTTCCATCCATTTCTCTATCTGCTTTTCTCATCAGATATTCTTTGCCCTTAGAGAACAGATTCATTTGTTGATATCTGACTGGGGCTGTTCTTTTCATAACCTGAGGAAAGCAAAGGCGGAGTGCTAAGGTGACAAGATATCTTAAGAGCAAGAAGGGTGTTAGTAGAATGCTCCAAAAGCAGTGAGTCAGGTCTGGGGTCCTTCTAAGCTTGCTGTTGAATGACATGCTTCAATCACATAGTCCTTGCACATTGTAGAAATCAGGGTACGTAAATTCAAGAACTCTAAAATTGTTTGAAAAGCCTAATTTTTGTCACTTTACAGATGTCCCGGTTAAGCAGACCTCTTCCATAGCCGTCGCTGGAGCTATAATTGGAGCTGTCCTTGCCCTTCTCATCATTGCTGTCTTTGTGACTGTACTGCTGACTCCTCGAAAAAAGAGACCATCCTATCTTGACAAAGTGTAGGTAACTTTTTTGCCTGTGTTCAACTATGAATATTCAGTATGTGTCAGTCTTTATGTCTGTCTTTATAGCTACTCATGTAACGTGATGAAAGTAAAGGTACTGTTAGATCTTTCTGTGATGACCATGGTTTCATCAGAATGTCTCGAATTACATCTTAGTAAATAAACTGTCAAGGGGCTGCTGAAGACAAATGTATTAGACATCTTTTTCACCTACACTCCATTAGACACCTACGTGATGACACACTACGTTGTCCTGCCTTGTGAATAAAAATGTAGTTGAAAGACAAAATAATTTTTAAAATCTTAGAAGTTTAATTGCTTCTTCAGATTGTATATGCCTGTCTTAGATAGACATGACTTAACTTTCAACTGACAAGAATTATTAAACATAGAATTTTAAAGTTTTTATCCTTAATTTTGGTTTAGGTGAATTATAAAATGGACATCTTTATTTATTTAAAGAGAAAACAGTGTTTTGGGCCTTGTGATTCAGAAAGAATTACTTTGCTGTAGAGTCCAAAGATTAATGTCCCAGTTCATGTAATTCCATCAACAGCTTTGTTGCTTCATCTGTGAAATGAGAATTATACTTGTCCCACTTACCACACATGGTTGTGATGAGAGCAGAATGAGATAATGTTGATTACGGGCTCTAATGTTCTATACGGTGCCATTCTGTCTTTTATAGTTTTTATATTAGGACAAAGAATGTATTTCTTCTGTTTTCATAAATGCTTTGCCTGTGCCTCTAATCTGGCACAGTGGTAACACTAATCTTTTTGCATTAAAGACCCCTAAGAGTCTCAGCTCTCATGATCAGATTAGTGGTATGACTAAGAACAAGTCACATGACCTGCATGAGCCTCAGTTTTCTCACCTAAATGACCTATGGCACCTTGGAGCTATAAAGTTGCTGAGATTTTTGTTAGATGAAAGGAAGTAAGTAATTTAAATAAAAGGACTGTCAGGTGCCCTTTCAGTGCAATACCTGTAAGACGAGTTCTTTAATATTTCAAGAGTGACTGGCATGTGGTTAATTAACTTCATCTTAGTTCCCACATTATCCCAGGATTTTCTAGAATTTTAAAAACATAATTTACTAGTAGACTAGTAAATCCATGCCACAATTTTATTTATCCTTTGAATTCTGTTCATTTAAAAGACTTTTGTGCCCTCATTGAGAAGTTTATTAGACCACAGAGAGTTGGTAGTTACTTTGGCCCCTATGACTTTCGTTCCCTTTACCCTTTAATGTAGGTAAGGTTCTGGTTTAGTTTACTAATCATGAGTCCTGAAAATCACTTTCCTGGGGTCTTCAAAAGTATGAGAATATGTAAAAATGGTTTTCTATTTTTTAAAATATGTTTTTATTAATTTTTAGAGAGAGGAAGGGAACAAGAGAGAGATCAGTGTGAGAGAGAAACATCCACTGGTTGCCTCTCGTACACACCCCGACTGGGAACCAAACCTGCAGCCCCGGCATGGTCTTGACCTATACAAACCGGCAACCTTTTGGTGCATAGGACTGTGCTCAACCAACTGAGCCACACCGGCCAGGGCTAAAAATTGTCTTCTAAAATTCAGAGAGCTACATTTAATTCTACTGTTGTAATTTAAGGGACATCTGTAATATTTTGAACGATAAAAAAATAAAAAAATAAAAATTTAAAAAAAAGAAACAGTGTTTAAAATAATATTGGGTTTTTAAAAGCTAGATTAAGTCATTTTAGCAAAAAGAAATGCATCCCTTAAGGTTGTAATGGTCCCTTTGTTTATTTCCGGTTGCAAGATTTATACTGGACTGTAAATTGAAAATATTAATTTGCATGGTGAATATTCTAAGAGTGGCCATGCTTTTGAAAATTAGTTTTGGAAGTATTTCCAAATACAATCTCAACTTTTTTTCATTATCATTTGAAGATACAGTCTTTTAAATCACTTCTATGACACTTTAGAGCAAAGTGTCTTCCATTACACACGTTTTACTATCTTTAAAATGTTGATAGGCACAGTTAGATGTAAAAATGTGCAAGCCTAAATAAAATTGGTCATGTACTCTATTACGTGCTTAGTAATAATTTGAAGAAAATGTTTCTATTTGAGTTGCTTCTTTAAATATGCATCTATTAGATTATCTTAAGCATTGGAACCTTTAAAACTAGTATCTTTTCCATCTGCGATAGGTTAGTGAAAGTGTAAGAGCTAAATTAAATATGTAATGTACACTCATATATAAATGTGAGTATGAGGAAAATATCCTAAAAAATGAAGAGAACCTTCGTTGTTTTTCCCCTTTTTTATTTTTGCTAAATGTGGCAGTCACATTTTTTAACCTTTTTAATGCAGGATTGACCTTCCACCCACACATAAACCACCTCCTGCGTATGAAGAACGATCCCCACCTTTGCCTCAAAAAGACCTTCTGTATCAGGCAAGTGTTCATGAGCACACTTAAAATAAAATGAAATAAAATGTACTAAGCAATATATATCATTTGTTTCAAAATATTATCTAGTCATGATACGTTAACTATTGCATAGTAATATGTAATCATTTCTCTGAAACGGGTAGGTGATCAAATTTTGTCTATGAATTGGAAAGAAAAAAAAGTAATGGCCACCGTAGCTAAGACAAGTCAACACTGTATTAGGAGTACAAATTTTTACTAAAACTATAGCAGAAGACATTGTTAATACAGTTTTATTGGCATAGGGATTCATTATAAAATATCCATTTCTATCTATAAAAAGGTAAAAAAAATGAATATCTTTGGTAGCATATGATGAGCTTTTTCTCTTTGGAGTATGTATTTTGTTTCTTTTTCAGTATATTCAAGGTCTGAATTTTGGCTGTTTTTTATTTAGCAACAACAGGTTTATATTCCAATTTAAAAGCCTGGGTGTAAATATTGGGCCTCATATTACATATATGATAACTTAAAATTTTTCTTTCAGAGTAGCTTACAATAATTTATGTGAAAGTATTGATTCATGCTTCTATCTTGTGCTCTTGGGAAAGTTTAAACCATTGAAATATATGAATACTTTTATTCTTAGCTTTAGTTTCACTGTGTTTTTTAAATTTTGTTTTTCCTCTGTCACCCATGCAACCTATTGGGGTTTTATTACCTGTGAGAAAGTTCTATAATAGTTTATTCCTAAAATATGCCCTGTATCTTCAACTTGAACAAGGCAAATCATTGGCCCACCAGTTACTTTATTTAATTTAGTGAAAAAACTCCAAGGGAATATATCTGTTAAGATATTTTCCGTTTCTGTTTCTTTGTTGACCTTATAGTCAGTGTCCTGCCTGAGCATGGGGCAGGGAGGAGCCTTCCCTGGCAGGTGCACTCATTGACAGTGGGCACCAGCATTGTCATCTTACACAAGTTGCATCTTAGAGGTGAAGATATGCCGTCTTTTCTGACCTCTTGTTTTTACATAAATGGCGTAGCCTCACATTTCTTTTGGCATTTTAAGTATTTTAATTTTCAATGGCGTTCTCCCCACCCTATCCCCGTGGCTTTTTCTATTTGGTTATTATTAGCAAATAGACATTCTTTGGCTTTTTAATATAAATCTTGCATCTACCATCTTTTCTCAAATTTATTTATTTTAATAGTTTTTTAGTTTGTTTAGTTCTTGAATTTTCTAAATATATAATCTACTTGCTACATATAACCAGTTATCTTTTTTCTTTATTATTTTGCTTTATTATTATTATTATTATTATTATTATTATTTGCAATGATTAGGGCCTCTAGAAGAATGCTAAATGCTGACAACTGTAGGGGGCTTTATCTTATTGAGCTTCAAATCCAGCATGAAATACTGAACACCAATATAAATGTCTTTGTATTAAAATTTGGACAATGCTATGGATAGTGCTATTTTTTTTAACCTCGGAAGAGTTTTATACTTAGATGTGAAAAAAATATTTCCCAAATCAACTAAAATGATCCAAGGAACAGTTTCAGGAAAAAATATCTAATGAATACAGTTTGGTTTCAAATATGGAAAAATCTGGATGTAAATGTAAATCTTTTAGAATACTGTGTTTTAGCCTAAAATAGCATTTATTCTTGGAAAGTCAGAACTAGTAGATTCCTTGAAATAGATACTGTTACTTGACTCGACTGATTTCAGTGAAGCCAGCAATATTATAGGGGATGTGGCTTTTGAAATTATTTTTATAATGCTGACCTATCTCATTATTAAAAGCTTTGTAATCTCTTGAACTGTCATAAGATTTTTCCCCTTACATATCCACATTTGCGGAAGAAGTTATCTGTCAGATGAATTTTGGTAATTTTTTTTATTTTCAACAACCTTAAAATGTTTTATGGACAATATTTTAGTAATTGGAATACACAGATCAATGTTTCTGGTTTAAAACATTTGTTATAATATGTAAATATGTGTGTTAACATTCTCTGTGATGAAATGGGATATATGTGTAAAGTACTTTGATGACTGAATTCAGTGAACAAGCTGTCTTTTTGTGAAATACCGTTTTTACTTAAAAGAATGATTAAAAATCTATGGTCATCCAAACTTGAGAATTTTGCAAACATTTTCTCAAAAATCATTAAAATAACCTGTCACTCAAGGCAAACAACTGACAGTATTTATTGTCATTGAAAAATTTGGATTGTAAGTAAAAATTATAATTTTTATAAAACTCGTATCTGCAAGCGTGAGATTGACATTGTTGGAGAAATTAATGAATATGATTTTTTAATATTGAATAAGGAAAAGTACCAATGTTTTAAAGATCTGCATAACTTAGTGAACCAGTAATTTCCAAATGATCAATGAATGCCAGTACAAAATGATGCATGGGTAAAATATCCATTCAAAGTACAAGATAGATGTAAGGCTTTTCATGTAACAGAGTATGAAAAGTTTATTGATGTGTTTTAGATAGCAGCTAACCTTAAGAAACTACCACTTGTTGAGTTTTGGTATAGTATTAAGGAGAATTTTCCCAAATATCTGAAAACACTATTGAAATACTCCTTCGTTTTCCATCTATGCATCTGTGTGAGGGCATTTTGTCTTCATAGATTTCAACCAAACCACATTTTACAAGAGCTTGAATGCTGTAGCAGATATGAAAATCAAGCTTTCTTTTTTTGACTCAGATATTAAAAAGATTTGGAAATGTGAAAAAAATAATAATAAAAGGCCATTCTTCTCACTAACCTATGTTTTGGAAACATTTTTCATTTCAAAGATGCTATTTATATTAACATTATGGGTCTATTAACTCATTAAATGAATTCAGTACTTTAAATTTTTCTTAAGTTTAATGTTTAATGATAAATATAGATAGCTATTACCAAAATAAGATATAAACAAAAGTACTTTGGGTCCTCAAAATTTTAAAGTATAAAGTGGTTCTGAGGCCCCAAATTTGAGAACCTGTGCTGTAGACCATAAGCAGTGTGAAGGCCAAGATTGTGTTACCCTTGCTTAGTACTAGAGTACTTGTGCACAACACAATGTGTGTCTTATTGTAGGTATCTAATAAAATTTTTTGAATGACTAAGTGAAAGAAAGAATCAAGCCCTTTTTTATATTCTCTTTTAGTCTATGACCTGTGAAAATGTCTACACTGTTTATTCTAGAATATTCATGTCCCAGAGACTGTGTTTCAGTATATTTAACATCAGTATATCTAATATCATGTCTCAAGTATTTATATATCATGTATGAAAAAGAACAGAGAGAACAGGAGACTGGAGGGACATTCCAAAATGTTACGAGTGATTATCTTTGTATGAGACTTTTTAGTGAGTATTCCATTTTGTGCTTCATTTTCCTATAGTTTCTGATTTTTCTACAGTGCTTTTTCTCCCATCAGTGGCCTTTTAGCATAGGAAAATAAAGATCTGCTGAGAACCCAAATTACTGGACTAGAGTGTTTAATCAGTCAGACCAGTTATGACAGTGCTTAAGCAGAATTTACTGTCTGGAAAAATGATTCCCCCCAATAATTCACCAACATATATCCCATTCTTTAGTACATTTTTGTAAATGTTCACGGCAGTGTTACAGAGAAAGTGTTTCTACATATGTATTGTATTTTGAGTAGATAATACATGAAAAACAATATAAATGAGTATTTTCTAATGTATCACTCCCGTTTCCATTCCTGTTCACCCTACCCCCACCACCTCCTACAGAAAACCACTTTCATAAATTTCTTGTTCGTCTTAATACTGTCTAAGCATAGACAAGGAAACGCACACATTTTATCTTATACAAAGGGAACATATTTACACCCCTAAGATATACTGGAGATCTTTCTTGGGATGCAGAGTACTCTCATTCTCTCTTGTGTCTGCATAGGACACTAATGTGCATGTACTACAGAGTTTGTAATGTCAAAATATTTTTAAGAAGCCAATAATGGTGCAATGAATAGCTTTGTATATGTGGCATTTTGTATCTATGCAAGTATAATCTGCAGGGCAATTTTTTGAAGTTGGTTTAGCTCCATCAAATAGTAAATGTGTTTATACTTTTGATGAATATTGTCAAATTGTCTTCTATAAATACTGTTCCATTTTGACTCCTACGAGTAATACTTGAAAGTGCCTGTTTCTCCAAATCCTCACCAATACCATATGTATTTTGCTTGGTTATTGGTAATCTGATAGGCAAAAAAATAGTATATACCTATATTATTGTAACTGTGCAACCTCATTACTAGTGAGTTTCAGCATCTTTTCCAATGTGTAAAAGGCCATTTTTTTCTATGGGCTGTCATTTTTGTGCATGCTTATTTATTGAACAAAATTATGGCCACTTAAACATTTTATAAGTAAATTTGAAACTTTTTGGTTTTGATTCTAGCATGAATGGTATGTACTTTGTTCCTTAGTATTGAAATTTGTGGTACAGAAAGTTTAGTAAGATAAATTACATATTCCCATTGATTTATAAAATAGCAAGATAAAAAAATGGAAAACTGTTATGACTAGAACTTGCACACCATCAAGCTGTGTAGTTTAGAAACATGAAGTTCCTGCTTGTTATCAAGTTTCTAGAGTTAGAGATATGCCCTAGCAGGTTTCTTAAGCTCAGTTACTAATCACTCCACATTTCACTTAAGGCTTTCTTGAACCTTTCACCCTCTGACTCTTTATGGCTTCATAGATTCCTATTATTTCTTCTCAAAACTCATCTTCCCAACACATCACTGCCGTTTTTCAATATTTTTTAGTTAAGCCTCTTGTGTTAATGATCATCGATGGCATGGTTTTTCTCCCAGGATCTGAATATTTTAACATGTTTCCGGAAACTACCAGTAGTTATGGGTTTGGGGGCCAAGGAGAAAGGGGGAGGAAGGAAGATGATAGAATTAACATTTTTCTTCCAAGTTAGAAGAAAGTATATGACTAAGTGGATTATTCAAGTAAATGAG